TAAGATAACATTCCCTTCCCCCCCCTCTTTTCATCAGTTTTATGTATATTTTAACTTGTGTTGATTGTTGACACTTTGTTCTATTCAAGCTGTCTAAATTGTAACTTTTGAGTATGGGTATGTGCAATATAAATGCAATTAATTCATATTGTTATATATGATAATTTCAGGTGCTGTTATGATCTCCCATCTTTTTTTCTGAAAATTGTCAGTTGTTACTGTATTGTTGAGGGGGGGGGAATAATTTTAATAATAACTAGCATTTTGTACAGCTCATATCCCTACTTGATAGCAAGCTCTATGTGCTGTTTGAGAAACTATCATTACCTCAGCAGAGCTTAGGAAACTCAGAAACATTCTCAGCTTGCTGGGCAGCATTCAGTACAAACAGCTGATTGATTAAGTGCTCAAACAGTAACAAACTGACAAGATTTTTCCATATACACTGAAGTGAGAAGACTTGTCTGCTCTCAGATTGCCCAGAGCCTCGACCATCACTCCAGCATCGGTGTGGACCTGGTGGCCATGTGCGTGAACGATGTGCTGGCCAGCGGGGCGGAGCCGCTGTTCTTCACCAGCTACTTCGCCTCGGGGACCGTCCACCCAGACTGGACCCAGGATGTGCTGCAGGGTGTGGCTGAGGGATGTCGCCAGGCTGGGTGTGCGTTGTTAGGTCAGTAGGCTTAGAGTTTGATTCTTTCTGCTCTTGCCTTGTTTGGGTAGTTTTGTGTATTTATTTCCACTCTTTGCTGAGAGTAAGTTTTTTGTTACTTGGAGATAATTTCTTTCATCAGCAATGTTTGATGCTTGTTTAATTGTTTTGTTTCCTGTGAATATGTTTTGCTCCAACTGTTTAACCACTTGATTGCCTTGAGAGAAACTGCATAAGCTCTTCAGTAAGATCAGAAAGCAGATAAGGCCCGAGAAGTCCATTGCAGTCTATTTTATACTGCTGGCTGTGTGACAGCAAAGTGTTTAAGTTGTGCATAGCTGCCAACTAGTATGCACAAATTTATTTCATACGTCTGAAAGGGTCTGTGTATAGAAGTCCGTTTTGTTATCAGAAAAGTTCTATTCTCTGTTATTTAGTATTGTTCCTTTCGGACTTGCTCATGCTGGAGATAGGTTTTCAAAATGGGATTTGCGAATGATAATAAGAATGAAGCACATATGTCAATATGTCTTAACTTGTCCGTGATTTGTTCGTCCACAGAGCAAAAAGTGTCTTTACTACCTTCCATATACCAGGGCAAGATCTATGATCTAGGTGGCTTTGCTGTTGCCGCAGTGGAGAAATCCAAGATTTTGCCATTGACATCGAGCATCCGAGCTGGACATGCGGTTATTGGACTGCCCTCTAGTGGTATCCATAGCAACGGATTCAGCCTGGTTCGGCGTGTGGTAGAGATGAACGGCCTCCGTTATGATCAGCCGTCACCGTTCACAGCAGGCATGACTCTGGGTGAGATTGTCGTTACATTGTTCGACATTTCTGGAGCAGCACCCCTGTTCCCTTCTTCTGAAAAGTTTGATTTTAACCATTTTTGTTAATCTTCTCATTGGTGGTTTTTGATGAGCACTTAAATCTCTGATGGTGAAGATAAGTTCTCAAGACTTTCATTGCGTCATGTCTGCAGCCTAAATAAGGTACGGGGACTCTCATGGCCTAGAGATTAAGGTGTTCACCTCTCATTCAAAGGTCCCGGGTTCAAATCCAGGTAGCAAGGGAAAAATAATCTTCTCTAAAATTGTTTCCTTTCACCTCCTTTCCTGCTCTCTAGCAATGTTCTGTCATCTGCTTTCATCTCTAATTTCTGCCCCCACCCCCTCACCTCCGTTGCCCCCTCTTCTGGGTTCCTGACTCTTTCAGCAGCCTTTCTACTTCTTTTCCTTGGCTCTTTCTTACTGCTGCCCTTCAGCTACACCCCTGATCTTCTGTTAGACCTAGCCTTTTTGGACAAGGGCGAAAAACCTCGGAGGTCCCGTGTGTAAGTTGCGCACGTTAAAGATCCTTTGGTGGTTTAAATTCGATAAGAGTTGGCTTCGGCCGCCACCCGGGCAAAATTCAAAATTTCCTACCAACTGAGAATGTTTAAAGTGTTACGCGCTCTCATGTGACCTTATGCAGTTGCGAGCGCCGTAAAAACACTTACAAAAACAAAAAAACAAAAAATAAGGTACTGATTATGTTAACTATGTATTTACTATAATAACGTGTGGTAGAAAGTCAATGTAGCTTTTTTTATGGACATGTTGACCTCTCGATACATTTGGGCGTTAGGGTGACAAAAAGGTCATTGGGGTTCAGAAGCTTATGAAATGTCAATATTCTCCTTTGAATAGAGGTCACCAACAAAATCACAAGAAATTGATAGATTTTGGGACTTTTACATGATATGGCTACCCAACACAATTACCTGTCACTAGCAGATCAAGTTAACTGACCTCAAATTTTGATGACCCTTCTTTTTGTGGCATGCTACCAGAGTTGGCATACAAATGTTGTTTTCTTGCTAGGAGGAACAGTCTTCTCAATATATACGCTGTAACATTTTGGGCCTTTTTTTCTTTCTTTTGGATTTATTTTCTTTTAAAAACATCACCATTTATTTTCTCTCTGACAGGCCACGACCTTTTGACCCCAACACGCATCTACGTGAAGTCTGTGTTGCCAGCAATGAAGTCTGGGAAGGTGAAAAGTTTTGCTCACATCACGGGTGGAGGTCTGGTGGAGAACATTCCCAGAGTGATGCCCCCTGGTCTAGGGGTTTGTCTCGACGCCAGCAAATGGAACCTCTCAGCTGTATTTGGCTGGCTGCAGTACATGGTAAGTTCTCTGTTGTTCTATGTAGTCCTTCAGATTTAACACTTACAGAACCGTCGACGACTTTAGTCACCAGTCCTTAGTATGCGCTCACTACCGCTGGCTACTTAAGTCGCCAACGCAACCAGGCACACTAAACAGAATTAAACAACGAATGGACACACTGCGCTGAAGTAAATACCCAAAAAAGTTACTCTATATGATAGCTGAATGGTTGATGAGCCTCTCTGAATTTTTAAACCGTGTTTCTTGGGCTGCCAAGATTTTTTTATTTTAAAAAAATTCTGCCACGGCTTCAGCGTTCTAAACTGGTGCAATACTTGAGGGTTTTTCACTGTATGTGCCTTCGGTACCGTTAGTGTTAAATCTCTGGCCCATGGGCTCAGTACAAGACCTGTCAAGTGCTGTGATCTAAATTGAGCTCTCCTGGATTTTTTTTTGCCAGTCAAAGAACTCCAATTGTATTTGCATGAAATCTTTTTTTTTTCTTTAATTGTTTTCATCGCTCATCCACAGTTTATGGTAAATGACGTGAAAATACACATTTCTATTTGCATGCATTTGCAATATGTTATTTGCTGTGGTTGGTTCTTAGCATAACCTTAACCTAATGGAGTTCTAGAGACTCAAAATGTATTTTCTTAACTCCGATTTTTAGGAAAGATTCAGAGGAAAAACTTGGATATTTTTTTGGTCATGGAGTGGTTGGCAGGTCTGCAGTACCAATCATGTCGTTATAGGTGGAGGTCTTCTTGTAATCTTTTTTTTGTTGCAGCTAAAGATGTTTATGACAGGTGAAGTTGGAAAAAATCTGTATGTTTGATAAAGCCTTCCTTTTCGTTTTCTAAATCTGGTGTTCATCACCTGTGCTGGTGGCTTATGAAAGTGAACCAAGTGTACTTTTTCTGTCTTTCTTTTTTTCTTTCTTTCTTTCTTTCTTTCTTTCTTTCTTTCTTTCTTTTTCTCCTCCTCTTCCTCCTCCTCCTCCTCCTCCTCCTCCTCCTCCTCCTCCTCCTCCTCCTCCTCCTTCTTCCTTCTTCTTCTTCTTCTTCTTCTTCTTCTTCTTCTTCTTCTTCTTCTTCTCCTTCTTCTGGGGGGGGGGGGTCTATTTAACTCTTGTTTCATTATGCCTTCTTGAAGATGCAATTGAGGATAATGATTAAAGGCTAATGAGATTATTTCATTTTTGTCTGTCAGGGCAAGATCAGCTCTCATGAGATGTCAAAAACGTTCAACTGTGGACTTGGAGCTGTTCTTGTTGTCAGCCAATCAGATGTTGCGGAAGTGATGGAGACGTTGTCCTCAACAGGAGAGGAGCCAGTAGTGGTTGGATCAGTGGTCTCCCTTTCTGGTACAAATATTCTTTGCGGAAACAGTTATGGGAACATGTAGAAAGCAGCTCAAAATTCAAATACAGAAGTATACGTTAGTGACATCCTTTGTGGTAAATTGGAGAAAATTGTATGGAGCTTATGTACTGGGAAAGGACTCAAGGTGGTTAGATTACTTTTTCATGATGGTTTTTGAGGGTGAAGATGATGTGTCTAAAAGGGCAAGGGAAGAGAAATGCAGTTCAAAATATTACTTGCCAGATATTTTAAGGTGAAAGTTTAGTGATTTCTGACTGTTGATGAAATAGTAGCCTCCTGTTTGACCTTGTTTGAATAAACAGCAAAATAGAAGATATCCTTCCACCCTGTACAAGATTTTTAAAAAGATCTCAACTCACAAAGGCTGTCTTTGGACAAAGAGGTAGAGCTTCTAGGTTATTCCTTTTCTATTAGATGCTTAAAAATGTATATTGAATAATAGTATGTTCATTGACCCTATTTATCATGAAAAAGTGCAGAAGAATAGCTTTCTAAAAATAGTTTACGTGGGGGCTGGGGGGATTTAACCTGAGCTCTGAGCTATGAGTGCTCCAATGATGGCTGTAATTTTCCAATTTTTTTAATCATTCAGATTGTTTTCAGAACTGTGTGACTTTTAATGACTTTAAAAAGAAACCTTGTAAATTGATTTTAAATCTTTTTTTATATAAAGGTTGAATGTTTCCTCATTAGTTGAAATATAAATCATTGCCTTTATTAAAGAGAAGTAAAGTACTGTGGTTTCTATCTGTTTTGCCTTCTGGCTTTGAATTGTGCTTTACAAGTGGAAAATGTCATGTATTAAAAAAAAGTAATGAGGTGTTTACTGTTGTAATATTTGTGCCAGTTTTGTTATTAACTTCTATTTTGTATAATAATAATACATTATAATGAATATGATGGTAATAGCATGTTATGACGATCCTTCACAGAGGATGAGAAGACCAAAGTTCAAATCCAAAATTTGCAGTCCAGTCTACTGTCCAGCTGGACCCGGCCGAGGAAAGTAGAGAGAAAGAAGCGAGTAGGAGTTCTCATCTCTGGCTCAGGTAATGGTCCTGGGATGGGGCATCTTGCTCAGTCAACCCTTTCAAATTGTAGATACTATGTTCTCTGTTTTGTTGCAGCAAATTTAGTTTAATAACTTACATACTTAATGATTTTCATCATGAAAAAGATAAGGTTACAAGCATACATTAGCATTTTCATCATGAAAAAGATAGGTTTCAAGATAGGTTTCAAGCCACAAACTTTTATTACTCACCATCATGTTCTGAAAAGAATGAAGATTTATTATATGAGGATACAAGGATACAACAATAAGTAACTTGGTGCCCGCAGATATTTATGATAAATCGTTGATGTCGGTGGTCTAGTGGTTAGGCTACCAGACTCGTAATCTTGAGGTTGCGGGTTCGGGGGTTCGAGCCACGGGCCTGACGTTGTGTCCTTGAGAAAGGCACTTTACACGGATTTTTCTCTCTTCACCCAGGTGGGAATGGGTACCCGGCCTTAGACAGCGAAAGATCTTGTCAGTTTGCCAGTGTTTTAGCACCTATAAATGGCTGCTTGCACTGTATGCTTCCCAGGAAGTTGAGTTTGTTTCAGAATGCTCTCAGGTCTGCTGGGGTAATAGATTGTGAAGTGCATAGACCTTGCTGTTGAGCAGGGATTTGCGCTTTACAAATGCTATCTATTATAAATGAGAAAAACAAGAAATAATAATATAATGTCTAGTCAGTAGCTACGCTAACTCTAAGAGCTAATTATATTTCATTTAGAGATGACACTTTACAGCTGGCATGTTCGCTGCTGTTTTACCTGCATACTGCTGCGCAAATGAGACAGTCTCTTGGGCCTTACACATAAGCCATTTTAGTGCAGTCAAATTGAAAAATGTTGTCTTTACAAGTAATTATACAGAGTAATAAAAAAACATGATTTTTCTCTTGTATTGAAAAAAATTAAGATGGAAATTAACATTGAAACGCCAGTTGATCAATTCCCATCCATCCCCTCCTCTTCAACAGTCCCAAGTTAAACTATACAATTTTTCCTTCAGGCACCAACTTGCAAGCTTTGATTGATCACACTGTGGACAAGGAGAACAATTCTGCTGCCCAGATCTCCCTGGTTATTTCCAACAAGGCTGGGGTTATGGGCCTGACAAGAGCTGAGAGAGCTGGCATTCCAACACTGGTAAATCGAGATATCTTACATTGTTCTTTTCATTCTTCATTTTGCACTTCTTTCTGTTTAAAGTCTTCTTCCTCTTGGTGTGTATGGGATAAAAACTCTAATGCCACTATACTTTCTGATTATGGTCTTCTTCTTCAGGTGTGTTTAGGATGGAAACTGTCATGTCAGCCAGTGATTGTACCAGTCTGTGCTGGCGTTTCGGCTTTTATCCGGTGCAGATTGTTACTGAACTCACATATTTGTCTCGCTATCATTTCTCCAATGATCATAGATAGCGAGGGGTGGAAAGAAAAAAAACTTTGTCCGAACTTTTTAAAAATATTTCCATTTTCTAGTTCTGAAAGTATGAGGATGTCTTTTTATATCTTCTCTTCTTCAATTTATTCAGTACTGAACTAGACAAGCCTAAATGAAAAATCAGTTACTTGCATTCAGAACAAGAAGAAGAAATAGGAGCTGTGCAATCATGATGACCTTTTTAAACTTTCAATATTACAGTGTGACTCTTTCTATCGACTGATTTTAAAATTTATTTTGAAGGGTGTAATATTTATGGGGTTATGTGTGAACGTGACAAGTTATATTTGTTATCTTCTATCGAAGATATGCACGAAAAGTATTTGCGGTTGTTTTGTGTCAATCTCTTTACAATCTCTGGCCTCTGTAAATGTACTGTTTTACAATGTGATACTTTCTTTAAACCGTATATCTTTTCAGGATGTAATATTTAACAGATTAGGTGTGAACAGGACTAATTCCATTCTTTATCTTTATCATTTATTGATGTGCCCAAAAGTATTTACAGCTCTTTTGTGCCAATCTCTGTACAGGTGATCAATCACAGGAACTACAAGAGCAGGGAAGAGTTTGACGAGGCTTTGCACCAGGCTCTCGTCAGTCATGGCATTGAGCTGGTCTGTCTCGCGGGCTTTATGAGGATTCTTACAGGTTTTTGTTCTTTTTCTTTCTCATGTAAATTTTTATGCGTGTCTCATAGGGATCTGTGTAAATTACGGAGTAAAAGTATATCATTAGGATCATAGCCCACTGTTTACTGTTCCTGTAAGACATAAATGTAATCTCACTGTGATTCCCACAGAGATGTCAGATATTGCACACTAGGTCAAGCAGTTCAAACTTCATAAGATGGATATAGTTTACTTTTATAGAAAATTGATGGTGAAAATAGCAAAGTTACCAATTCGCTTGAAGCTTTTTTTTTTACTAGTACCAGAAAAAAGCCCAATCTACTATCTCCCTGATAGGATCATTCTGGCTGTTTATTTGTTTATATATATACTGTTTCTTCATTTTAGTCTTCTTTATGTCTAAATATGGCCAACCTTATCTGTTTTAGTAACATAATCAGGTCGTATAAATACTGAAGATTAGAGGTGTTGCTAGAGAGTAGAATATGAAGAAAATAAGGAAAGATAAAGATGATATAGATGATTGATAGGAAAGGAGAAACAAGTCACACCAGAGCCAGCTACCCACTGTTGTCTGCAACTATACATTTTCTTTCTCTCTTTGACCAGGGGGATTTGTGAACAAGTGGACAGGACGCATGCTGAACATCCACCCGTCCCTGCTGCCGTCCTTCAAGGGTGCACACGCCCAGAGGATGGCGCTGGAGGCTCGGGTTCGCATCTCTGGCTGCAGTGTGCACTTTGTTGCTGTAAGTTGCTCCCTTCACCTTGAGCTTATGTGTTGCCCTTTGCTTCAATTGATGGGAAAGGACAAGGAGACTCGCAAAAGATCTATTTAAGAAAAATTATTTAATCAGTTCCGCGCCATCTTTCTTTTATGATCTGAGGTCAAAGAAAAAGAATGATCATATCCAAAGATCTATTCGTTTCACTCCCTCTCTTTCTCTCTTTCTCTTTCAGTCCTTCTTTCTTTCTCTCTTTTATACATGGACCCACTTGTACGCCCACAAACATGCCCAAGTGAACATTATACATCAAGTGAAGATATTTTGACGATGTTCAATTTTCCTGTGGCTACTCTTTTATTGAATAACTTGACTCTGCTCTGCAGAAATGAGCTTTTTTGTTCAATTTTCTGTTAATTTTTATTCAACATATTCTAAAATTATACACTGAAAACACTATTAGTGACCGATAGGTTGAAAGGGTACCTCGATTTTTTAAAAAATAAATTTTTTTTTTGGGGGGGGGGGGGCGTTGGTGGCCTAGTGGTTAGGCTCTCGGACTCGCAACCGTAAGGGCGTGGGTTCGAATCCCGTCAAGGGCTCGACATTGTGTCCTTGGGAAAGGCACTTTACACGAATTTTCCTCACTTCACCCAGGTGGGAATGGGTACCCGCCTATAGACAGCGAAAGATCTTGTCATTTTGTTAGTGTTTGAGCGCTTAATCAGCTGCTTGCACTGTATGCTTCCCGGGAAGCTGAGAATGTTTCGGAGTGTTCTATGGTCTGCTGGGGTAATAATATAGTGTAAAGCGCATAGAGCCTGCTGTTGAGCGGGGATATGCGCTATACAAATGCTATCTATTATTATTATTATTATTTTTGGGTTTTTTTGTTTGTTTGCATGCAGTTTTAAAATAATCGTGTCAAAATAGTCCTGTAGTGAAGATGAGTTTTGGCTGCAACAGATAAGGTTGAAGCAGCTTGCCTCTTTAACGCTTCATTGCATGTATGTTGCCATATTGGCAATGTACTGAGTTAGATACTAACAACTGATTAGTAATTGTTAGACTCCTATCTTATTTATCGAAGCTGGTTAGAATTCGCAGTATTTATTGAAGCTAGTTAGAATTCGCAGTATTTATTGAAGCTGGTTAGAATTTGCAGTATTTATTGAAGCTGGTTAGAATTTGCAGTTCTTTGAGTCCTCAGAGACTGTCACTGTTACTGACCGTACAAAGAGTTGGGGGTGGGGGGAGGTTTTTTTTTCGTCCTCAAAGACAGAAAAAGGTGTGTTATATAAGGTTAATGATCTTAATTGTGTTGATGAGAGTTTGTAACATTTACAATGAGTCATTTGAAAGTTTAAATCTTAACACAAACTTTCTTTCCTTTTTCTTTCCCTTGCCTCACCCTGCGCCACCCACTTTTGCCAGGAGGAAGTGGACGCTGGGGCTCTCCTGGTGCAGCGCAGCGTGCCCGTGTACCCAGGTGACACGGAGAACACGCTGTCGGAACGCATCAAGACGGTGGAGCACGGCGCGTTCCCAGCCGCGCTGGAGATGGTGGCCAGTGAGCAAGTGGTGCTGGGGGAGGACGGCAAGCTTGTGTGGAACTGGTAGTGAAAGAGGAGAACGGGATGTGTGGGAACCTCGTGCAGCGATGGAGCTGACATAGACGGGGAGCCAACTGGGACTTGTGAAAGTAAACATGCTGCTCTGGAACTACTGATAGTAGTACTCTATTGCTCATTGGTGGATTCTTTGAGAGAGACAGACTTATAGACATGTATTATCATGTCCAAGACTACACGCTATGACGTAATTCTGGTTCACCATGGACTGCGCCCTTTGACTCTCTTTGAAACCAAATGAAATTATGAAGGGCAAGGTCCTTTGAAAGGAATAAATAATAAATAAAGTTATCCAGTGACTAGTTGTTTTGGGTGAAATGATAGAGATAAGGGAAGATATTCTTTATTGGGCCTCCATTGGAAGAAATTAAAAACATGTTTTCACCACCTTCTAGGACACAATTAAAAAATACATAGTATCATATCAACACAATTATACAAACATTTGTTAGTATATGTATTACCGTAGGCATTTTGATTTCCAACAATGGCACCAGCTCGGTCCGACATTGTGTCCTTGGGAAAGGCACTTTACATTGATTTCCCATTTGGCTCGGTCCTTTCCGGTTTCAAGAAAAGACTCGTCTAAAGTTGTAGAAGATAAAAGAATTTTGTTCTTCCTTTGGAGAATATGGTTTTGCAGAGGTTATGAGTTTCTGAAATAATGATTGTAATGAGTGAAGGGTGATATTGTATGAGAACACCCATAAAAATATTATGATCTCAATACTTTTTATGTCTACTGGAAGTTGTTTAAAAATGTCATACTTTTGCCGGATGTAGAAGCTACTGCAATTTTGTGAAAATATTTTTTCATTGTTTAGAACTTAATTTGGGGGTAGGGGGTCTCTTCTTCTCTCCCCCCCCCTGTTTAGGAAGTGTCTTGAAGTGAGGTATAATCTCAAATGGATATTTGTCATTAAGATGTTGTGGAAGAAAAAATTCAACAATCATGACTTTCAAATGCTCAAAGGTTCTTTTGATACAAAATCTGTTCCCTTTTATTTTGGAATTTTTGTGAGTTTTTCTGTGCCATGCTCTAAAGCATTTTGAATTCTACTTTTACCATCTTTCTGTCATTTATGAACTTCCTGTGGATTTTGAAATATATATCAAATTGTACTGATTTATGTAGATGCTGTTCCAGGGCTATCTTTTTTTTGTCGATGTGTCTGGATGTCTTCTTTTCAGGAAAAATTTGACTTCCGAGAAAAATATATGAATTTCCTCTTGATTTAGCTGTTACTGACCACTTGAATGTCAATACAACTGTTTTAAAAAGCCTTTTTGGTACAGGAAGCAATGTGCTTTGAGTAGGAAAGACTTGTGAAAAGAGTGTTTGGATGAACGAGTTTTTTAAATGTTTTTTTTTTTGTGGGCAGGAAAAACAAAACTGAACATCTAAAGTTTCAGTGACCCTACCACCACCACTCCCCCTCCCCTATTTTTGTGGCTTAGGTGGTATTAGTAGTCTGTTAGATCTTTCCCTGCCAGGCCATTTCCCCTGACTCACCCAGGCTTTTTTTTCCTTTAGGACTAATCAGATATAAATATAATTTCTTCACTTTTTCTAAGAACGAAACATAAGTGTGTTGAATATCAAATTGCATGAAAATGAATTTTCAGTCAGACAGTTCAGAGTAAAAGACATAACCTGAGCACTTAACAGTGGTTTGTGCATCTGAAAGCTCTAGAGTGGGAGGGATTAAGAATCTGTCAAGCATTGAAATGTGTCTCGTGGCCATTAGGATTGGGCAGGTAACTGTATGCAAATGTAATATTATTATAGTTTTTAATTACTCTTTACTACTTAGAAATGTCCGAATACTCTTTGAAAAAGCTTTATGGATCTCACCACTTTTGACATGTATGTTGAATGTTCAAACTCAACTTTACTTTGAAAATATAGCAACATGTGCCATAAAGCTTCGTGAGAAGATGATGTCTGGCTTCGAGAAGTTGTAGATGTCCTTGGATATTTAAACATTCTAGTTGCACTGCTTCTCAATTTGAGAAGTTAGCTTCAGCTTTTGTTCGTGTTTTGCACTTGTGTTATTTTATCTTTTCAAGTTTATTACAAATTAGATTTTACAGCATATTATTGTGTCCTTGAGCTTCTCTTTGACTTAAATATGGGTAAAAGATATCTCTGTTTTGTCTAGGATAACCCCCCGGGGCGGTGCCACTGACTGAAGTGTCTTTAGGCCATTCCCAAAGAGGGGACATTTCTTGTTCTAGTGCTCAGAAGAACTGTAAATGGGCTGATCTAACAATGTCATGGTCATAACTGTGCCTGAACTACAAGGAACTGCTGCTTTTTCGGTCCTAATCCTTACTATCGTCATTTTCCTCTACTTCTTTTGTATGTTTGTCACACTCTTGTGACCAGATATTTCCAGGGTGCCTTGATAGTCGAAGCAGACTTTGCACTGTGGAAGCTAGACAGGTGAGCAGAGTAAGTCTGATTTCCTGGAAGGACCTCTCTGTGGAAATCCACCCCTTGTCGCTCATATGACCTTATGCAGTTGCGAGCGCCGTAAAACTTCTACTAAAAGAAATGTGTCAAGGATGTAACGCACAAGATCATAGTGGTATGGGTTTTTTAAACTGTGGGCAGCGTAAACTTTTTAGAGGGGAATTGGAGGTTGCTACTGGTTGGTCTTGCTTTTTTCTATGCCTCTGTTATATTTGACTCTCTTGCTTTTTCTCTACACTATGTACTAAAAAAGCTTTATTCATTATAGTGTGGATGTGCTTCTGTTTTCCTAAACAAACGGCAATAACTTGAAATTTTGCTGATGGAGTGATGGGCGAGGATTATGTAAAGACGTTATAATGAATATGAAACTTCCCTGAACTTTGCCCCAATTTGTCCTCAGTTTCAACCTTTTAGTGGAAAGGAACTGATTGAGTCCAAGAAGAAAGTTACTGTCTACCGGTGTAATTGCTGAGATCGCTTTTAAAGTCTTTCGTTGCACACCATCGATGAAGAAGGTTAACCTGCATCTTGACTGATCTAAGTTGCATCGATGGAAGAGTACAATGTTCAGAATCTTTTTATGTCTCTGATACATGCCGTCTGAGGTACATGAATGTGTATTGCCCTAAGATGAGTGTTACTATGTAATATTCATTTTGTCCAAGATTCCAATTAATGATGAAATGAGCAATGTATGTAAGTTTCCATGCCTATCATAGCTTTTGTAATTCTTTTTCAATTTTGAAAAGAGCAATATGGTGACAAGGAAATAGCCCACTTTTTCAACACATGTTCATGTTCGATGAAACTTAAGTACTTCTCTTTTTTTGTCTCTTAGACGATTAATGATTGTACATATCTTCTAAATATTATGTGCCATTTCTTTTTGTTTTTATTATTTTTTAAAGCAGTTTTTGTTGTTTGACCCTCAGTATTACTACATTAGCTCACAGACATTTTTTTTCACCCCAGGGGGCGGTGCCACTGACTGAAGTGTCTTTAAGCCATTCCGAAAGGGGGGACATTTCTCTTTCATGCACAGTAGAATTGTAAATGGGCTGATCCATATCATGCTCATAACTGTGCTTGATCTACAACAGGGAACTGCTGCTTTTTCTTTCCTAATCCCAACTATCGTCATTTTCCTCTACTTCTTTTGTATGTTTGTCACACTCTTGTGACCCGCTATTTCCGGGGTGCTTTGATAGTCAAAGCAGACTTTGTGCTGCTGAAGCTAGAGAGGTGAGCAGAGTAAGTCTGATTCCCTGAAAAGACTTATCTGTTGACATCCACCCTGTGGCGCTCGTATGACCTAATGCAGTTGTGAGCGCCATAAAATTACTAAAACAAACGAGGCATATTATTCTATCTTTGTGTTTGTTTCTCTTCTGGTTTTTTCTTCTTTTTTTTTTCTTGCTTTCTAAGACTCCTCCACTCTCATCATGATTATACAATAAATGAATTTTTTGAATGGCTTACAACTTACTTTACTTACCATGATTAATTTACGTTTTCTTATTGCACTGTAGATTATCCTTGTTTTGTGTCTTTGTACTGTTTTCTTCATAGGCTCTTGGATTTGATAATGACTTGGCTGGGGGGTTTTTGGGTTTTTTTGTCGGCCCTTGAGTGGATGGTAGGATGGACTGTGGTTGAGAGAAACAATTACTTTCTCCTTTTTTTCGTTGTTTTTGTTGGTTTTGTTTTTTTGTTGGTTTCTTTATAAAGGTATTTTCAGT